AGATTGTTTTTACAGCTGAAAAGGAACTGCCCAACACAATGCTTTTGGAAATTTGCCCAGACCTTTTGTCTGTGCGCCTGTTTGCATCTGTAAGTTTCTAGTTTTCTTCTCACATCCTGTAAATGATGCACAAGTAGCAAATTTATTAAAAAAAAAAAAAATATTATCATGAGGATGGAAGAGTCCTGTGAGAAAACAGGTTTGTGCAGTCACTAAAATTTAAATGTTATTTTCTCATTTTGAAATTCTTATAAAGTCCCCAGTTTGGCTCCAGCAAAAGTATATTTCTACTCCTACTGCTTTCCCTGGCTTTCAGAGCCCTTCTGCATATGTACTGACCAAAGTCTGCTCTTTTTCTCCATTTCTGGATGCCCCAAAGGAAGAGGTCACCAAGAGCAAGGGATTTTGCTCTGTGTTCAACCTGAAAACTGCTCCTGACCATGTGCAGTGCAGAACCCCATGAGGATTTCTTCTACCTAAATGCAGAATTTATCCTGTAAACTGTGATAAAGGCAGTGGGAGAGCCATGGGGTGACTTAATTCCCAGCACAATAAAGGTAGCAAGTGTGGATGTCCCAGCAAAAATTCTGACTTTGAAGAGCCAGGAAAGCAAAATTGCTGAAAATTGCACTTTACTGGTATTGTGGAACTGCCATGTGCTCAATTTCTAATTCACAAATTTACAACTCTCAGATAAGAAAAAATGAAACCTGAAGAAAACAATTCCTTTAACAAAGAGAAGCATTCTGCTTGTGTCACAGACATGTCCAAAGCCATATGAGCAATAAAACACCTTTACAATTCTAATCTGTTAAACACAAACCCCACCAATTTATTTTTCCATACTTACAATATATTACTAGTTAAACAAATTCTTTTTGTTTCAGATCCCATAGTGGCATAACATCAGCAAAATACTTTAGGCACACGCTTAGCCTTTAGGCTTCATTCTAAGGCTTAAATTGAAATACATACTTAAATGCATGACTGAATATTCACAATTAATATGTATTGTTAAACAAGGTCTGTCTGAGGCAGCTGGCTTATATGGCCCATTATCTTCTTACTTGCTCAGAACAAGAAACACACTGCAGGGTCTTTAGTGTGCTCTTTTCAATGGATTAATATAGGGAGGTGACTTATTAGTATATGTTAGCTGCTTAAGCAGTAAGGTTTTTAAAGATAAGAGGTCTAAACTATAAAAAGTTCACTTAAGATGGTCTTTCATAAATAAGATGCGTTTTTAGGTTGGAGGTCAAGTGGATCCATAAAAAGGAACTTGGAGCTCAAAAAAGACAAGCAAACAAGTGAATATATTGGTAGATAATACCATCAACATTAAGGTTTTGGTTACACTGGTTGGTATTGAGCCATATTTCCAAAGGGGCTTGGTGCCTGCCATCTGTTGATTCATGGCTCTGAGTTTTACATTACGGCATTGAGACCCTGTGTCTGCTTTCTGAGCTTCACATGTGCAGAACAGATAATTGCTCATTTTCAGCCACGGCTGTGTGCCAGAACTCCTGCACACACAGCACCTGCTGGTGCAGGTTTAGACCTAAGCTGCCTCAGCTGTTATTAAGGGCATAGAAATGGCTTGGTTGGGCCAAGTGAGTAAAATGAGTAAAATGAGTAAAGTAATTCCGAGGAGTAGTGTAAGGATGACCTGCAAGAAGGGGTTGTTGCTCCACAGCTTCTTTCCCAGTGACTTTTCTTGGATTGCTGAGGCCTCCCAAGCTGCAATAGATGTCCAGATTCCCCTGTTCAGCAGTGGAGGGTGGTTCCTGGCTCAACCCTTGCATTTTGGCTGCTAGGACACACTCATTCATCCTCAAGTGACATGTTTTTCTCAGATGGTGCAAGAATTGCCTGGTTTTCAAGCAATCCTTTGCTCTCTATAACATCAGTATTTATAGGTGATTCAGTCATGCTTGGTAGATGTTTAATTCTCAACTAAAGCTGGGGAATTATGTAAACCTTAGGGTAGGAGAAGGGGGGACTCCACCAAACAAATTTCTGTGAAGCACAGCTAATACCAGTTTTTCATCTCCACAGGGGAATCCCCCCATCTCGAAGGAAGTGAATCGCAAGAAAAGTGAGGTGGAAGGGGAGTGCCTGGTTCCAGTAAATGGCTATGGACGCCACTTCACCAAAATCAATTACCTCTACTCTTATTAAACATTATTTCTCCATTCGTATTACATATGGTGTATGGGTTTGATGAGGTCATGGTGTCATATCTTGGGGATTGTTTTTGTGTAAATCATCAAGTGTAAGAAGAAACTATGGGACTCTGAGCCTTGCTTTAGAGAATAACAGTGGACAAATGTGTACCATAAAAACTAGTTTTTAACATTCTAACTCAAGCGAAAGCTCTCAGAATTTCACACTGTGAATCCATGTTTACAAACATTACAGGTGGGCCCTCAGGCCTGGTTCTACCACAACAATGTCTTCCACTACTCAAACTCCACAGCTCACATGAAACCGGTTAACAGCTCTCTCCATTTCCACCAACCTGAACTGCTTCTTGCAGAGGCTGAGAGTCCCCCTTTTTTCATTTAGATGTAACAAGCCTAGTAGTTTATTTTCATTGATTGTCTGTATATCTCTATATTTTATCCATGTACTCTTTTGATGTATAGAAGTAGTATGAAACTCATGGTTTCCTTGTGGTAAGTGATCGTGATGCTGCCACGGGATTTGAGACACTGATGAATGGTGCTATTTTGGACTTTAAATATGCTCCTTGGCAAGGTAGCTCTGATGGAGTTATTTTTTATTTCCATGTTCTGAGAAGGTGTTGGTACTTTGTTTTTCTGAATGTTGTTCTTTAGACTGGACTGACTTGTTTACTTGTGTCTTCAGTGTGGCTTTCTTATTCAGTGCTGTAGGTGAGTAACTACTTATAGCATACAAGTGAGGAACTGATTCCCTATCAGTGTCCACTCACAAACATGCAGTTACAGTGGGAGCAATCACAAAACTGTAATTTACATAAAATCTCCTTTCTGACTCCTGTCCACCTTATGGAGAAAGACGAGCAATAATTTTCCACCAACTTCTCAAAGTCTCTTGATTTTTGTCTTTTTTTCTTACAAGCCTTTTAAAAAGAAGGGACAAGTTTTAATGTCCTCTTCAAATCCAAAAAATAGGGGATATAGTAAGAAAAATACAGCAAATTTCTGGGAGGAGAAGTCCTAAAGGGGAAGAGTACATTTCCACAGTCCTGTCAACATGTGGACTTTACATTTTTGTTCTTGCTCCCAGACTACTATCAATACAAAATAACACAAACCACAAAACTAAGCAGTACCATCTACTCATGGAGTGTTGTTGTGTTAGACACAGTCTGAAAGCCCACCTTAATTTTTTATATAATTCTGTCTTTTAGCTCTTCCTTTTACAGGGCAGGCCTTGTTCTGAACTGTCTTAGCTTCTGACTGTTAAATACCAATGCATGCACTGCACTTCCTAGATTTCTTTCCCTTCCCCACCTTCTGTATCCCTTTCCTTGTACCTTTTATTTTCCAATAGATTAGATACGTCTGTTGTGCTGTATATAGAGCAAGAAGTAATATTCAGCAGTCGTGGCATTTATGTATAGTTGTTGTGTACTGCTGAAAATGCAGGCTTTTGTAACAATGTGATCTTTAATAATGCACTATAAGTACCCAATGTATTTTAGCTATTTTAGTAGGATTTGTTCAATAAATACGCAAGCTGTAAGGGTAGCTGTGATGTCTTTGTTTCCTTATTGCAATAAAGGGAGGGCTCCTTTTCTGATGGTTTGCATCTGTTCTTCATCTGCCTTCTGAGGTTTGTTTCAGGAATATGTGGTGAAGTAAAAGGTGATTCCTTTTGTAGCTATGCTAAGCAGTAGCTATTAAGATAACCTGAATGCCAAACCTGAATCTGGGAAATGATATCTTGCTGGACAATGGTAGTCATATACTTTGTCTTCAAGAGTGTGGAGAGGTTGGGTCAGATGTGACACTTGATGCCATTTTAGTAATCCTAGGAAGACACTGTGGGGTTGTGTGTGGCAAACACAATATGTTTCATTTTCCACCTCTGATAAACTGGATTAAAAGGTCATTTTCCTAGTGTATGTAATCAGTTTAAAATATTGTTGATACAGCGCTCTCTTAAAAATACTTTTATTGGTGGAAAAGTAACATACACATTTCTAAGGTTTAGAACATATACTGGTTTCATTATAGCACAGAAAACAGATACACTGGCATTTAAAAAAAAACCACAAGCAATGGCCTACCAATTAATACCAGATGTAGATCTGCCCCTGAAATTTTCCAGTCATGAGACCAAACAAGTGCAATTCCATGTGCTCTGACTGTCTATTCCATTGAGTGAATTTACACAGGGATTGAGTTTGGTTCAATTAGTTTGATTGTATCACAGAAAACTGACCAGGCACATACAGCATCTGATCCAAATGGCCACTGATATCACTGTAGGAAACACAATAGACAGCAGTGTATTTGGACTAGAGCTAACTTTGGTTACAAAGCAGTTTCATCTATCTGTAGTATATCTGTATTCATACTAACAGTATATCTATATGCATACATCGATAAGGATATGTAAATGATGAGAAACAGTTAAGTGTCGCTGTTAAAGTCGGGACAGGTAGAATGACATAAAATCTTCTTTCAAAGCAGGGGAAGGATTACAAGAAGGCTGCAATCACTTTATTGTAACAGGTTGCAAACATTTACACTTTTCACACATCACACATGTCAACTTTCTATTAGTGCCTTTCATGTAAACGTATATCAGGCTATACACATGTCATCCTGCTGTTGGTACACATAGATCAGGCCATCAGGCCATCCACATGTCAACCTACTATTGGTACTTTTATGTATACACACACCAGGATTGTTTGCAAAACAGTAAACACAGTTTTTGTCGAGTCATCCTGATTTGCAGAAAGTACAGGAAGTCCTGTCATTCTGTCTTCCATCTTCTTCCTGTCTGAAAGTTGCCCACGTTCCTCTGCATGCTGTGCGTTCTCCTCCCTTCAGGGGTATACTGTAATCTGGTCAATGTCGATTGCTTCATCAATAAGTGCCAGGCTGCTGACAGACCTGCTGTCAACCCCGACAGTTAACAGAGCAATGTCTAATTGATTAATTGATCTTATTTTTAACCTGTGGGCTACTAGCTTTGGGAGGTAAGTGAATCATTTCAAAAAGACATATGAGAGATTATTAAAAGGCTTTTAGATCAGAAATCTATTGTTATTACTATGTATTTAAAGTTGCTACCCAAAAAAACCCCTTTTAAATCTGAAATATTTAAGAGGGTCACGGTCCTTTGGAACTTGCAGCTGTTCAAATAATGATTGTTTGACCTTTAGCACTGATTTTTAATCTTCACAGCAACATGACACATTTTAATAAGACATAATGATCTGCGGATTAGGGTGTTTGATGAAATTAAAAGAACTGATAAGGCGTTTTTGAATACCACAAATAGCAGGTCTTTTTGTTAATTATAAACACAAAGGACATCTTATGGAAACAGCTTTTAATATGCTAACACTCTAGAGACTAAAATTTGACAAAGATGATTTAATGTAGATTATGATTAACAGTGGCTCCCTGAATAAGCTAAAATGGCATATACTTTTCCATCAGCAATAGTGGATGTGGCACATATGCAGCATCAGCATCAGCTACAAGAGAAAGAGTTACAATGATTATACCTAAAAAAAAAAAAAGGTATGGGTGTTTTAAGGAGTGCCTCTAGGATTTAATGCATCTATTTCCTTGCCTTGCATGGTTGGGGAATGGAGCAGGTTGGTGCTTCCCAGGTTGACTGGAAGGCTTTCTGGATTTGGAAAGTTGATTAAAAGCATTGGGAAACAAAAGCAGTGAATGTGTCTCCAAGACAATTTTTGTGGAACACCATGAAAAGCTACCTTTTTACTCATCTCATTAAATAATCATTTAGATAGAAAGGCTAGTGGGAGTATTTCTAAAGCATGATGGTCAAGTAGATTGATTCATGAAACACTAGCTCTAACTGCAAACCATGGAATAACATATCATGGAGTATCTGGCAAAGCAGTATTTGTCCCTCAGCAAATCAAGCAAGAAAAAAAACCTCCGAAGATGAATTCTACAAAATAGAAATAATAATTGATACTTGTTTTCATAAAGCATTTTCAGCTACATAGATAAACTCACCGATTAGGAACTAACTTCTTACCGGTGAGCACTGGTTCATATTAATAATTTTATTCAGTGGAAGTTAGCTACATTCTGTATAGTTGTTTATAAAACATATTGAAAAGAATCACAAAATTTTTAAATCAATAATATGTTAATGCCAGATTCCATTTAAATTTCTATTTAAATATAATTAAATAGAAAGTTAAATGACATTAAATTAATCCAGATCTGTCTCAACAGCATCATGGTCCTGTGAATAAAAAAGTAAGTGTGATACTGGAATAATCTGGAGTACAACTGGCAAGACAAGTGAGATAATAGTTTAGTACTATTCAGCATTGGCAAAGCTACAGCTTGAATAAGACTAGGGCACCCAAGCTCAGGGAAGATGGGTGCACAGTGGCAAGAGTACGAGGGAAAGCAGCAAGTGTGATGTGAGCAGTGGCAGAGAATATGGCTGATGGGCAGTGACTGAAAGAAAGAAGTTCGTTTAGTTCAAAGTGAAGCTAAAAAACTGCCTTTCATACAAGTACAGCAAGATGGACTTCAGAGTCATAAAAGGGGTTGTGGCATTACCTAGATATTTGGAAAATACTTTCAGAAGTGGAAGGCTAGGAATGCACTCAGGGAGTGGCCAAGGGAGAGGCTGTCAGTGTTCGTCTTCTGAGATCTTTCAGAGCATGCTGGTGCTGTTATAATGTGTATTACCTGTAACTCAAAGCCAGACGATCCTCTCCTGTAATAATGATAGTCTAGAATCAGGAATTTCTGTCTTTCTATAGCTTCTTAAAATCTTCCCTGACAAATGCAGGGAAATGTGGCCCCACACATTTGTAAAACCATGCACACAAGACTTTAATTTCCCACTCATTTGCTCAAGGCTGAGTCCAAGGGGTCTATAATCTGTGTGCTAAGGCAAGAGACTCCTTTTTGTGGCTCCTCATATCTCTGTTTTCTAAGATTCATTTTGAGTTCTGGTGAAGTAAGAGACAGAAATACAGGAACTTACATGGACTTTGCTGCTGCATCGACGAAAACACAGGTAAGTTACATTCCAGTTAAGAGAAACGAAAGACCAGGAGGAAAAAGAAAAAAGAAAAAAGAAAAAGAAAGAAAGGTGGAGAGCAATATAGTAAGCAATTAAGGAAAAATAAAAAAGTCAGAAATCTTGCCTGTTTGATCTACAGCTCCAGAGATGCAGGGTTTACAGAGAGAATACATGAGCATCACATTCCAGTTTGCAATAGCTATTTTCCTTTACAGATGCAGAATTCTGAAACACTCTACTGAAAACATACAGGAAGAAAACTTGACTTTATGAGACACTGTTGATGGGCTTTTTTCATCACATTCTATGAATGAGAAGCTGCAGGAGAGGCAGTAGGCTGGCAGCCCCACTGGAAAAAGACATAGTGAGACATGCTGTAGTTTGCATCATTTTGAAGAAAGAGTCCAGTATTTGGATACTCAAAAACTGCCTACTTATGCTGCATTGAAAAGAAGAAAAAAAAAAGAAAATACATCTTGCATTTATAGTTTAACTGCATGTAAACATAACTTAAAATCTTCAGGTATCCTACTAGTATACAGACAATCCTGCCTACCTACACCTATCCCTCTGAACTATTTTGTAAGTGCATCCAGAGCTACCACCTGTCTGTCAGGGTATGGCCAGAGCTCAAAGTGCTGTGTAAGCTGGTGTAAATCATCTCAGGAAGCAGAGTAACTGCAAAATCAGCACTACTTGGGGGAAAAAAAAGTCAGAAAAGGATGCTCATGCTTTTTGTGCAGTCGTTTCTACCTTGTCATCCCTGATACTGCCTGAATATCTCAGCCTGATCACACCAGCCAATTTCTAACATTTCAGAGCAACTTAACTCTAGTCCTGCTCTGAAGCCTCTGACTTATTGTTTCAAGTTGTGGGTTTAAAACCTTCACCCTGTATGTCACTTAGTGTGTCCTGCTTTTCAGACCTCTCTGATTCTTGTGACTCATCTAATATTTTCCAGCTGCTGATTCCAGAGGAAGAGATGTGTTTCATACAAAGAAAGAGTATCCTGTTTGTGCAGCACTGTTTTCAAATTAATGTTGCATGTGTCCAAAATTAAACCCATGAATCTGTCCAGACAGATAATTGTATTATTGGGAAATTTACTCTATATAGGTTAGAACAGATCATGAAGGTTTCAATAAGTCACAGCACCCGGGACTTCTGTTTTCTAGACACATCCTCAAGATGAAAGTGCTGAGCAGGTTTCTTGAGCATTTTTTTCACATGTTCTTATGTAGTTTTTGCAGTCTCAAGTCTTTAGTTCATATCAACAGATTCCCATTAACAAACACAAGAAGGCAGAAAGATCTTTGTGGTATGATTTCTCCATTCAACCCTGCATCTTCCCAAAGAAGATGCTTTCCTTAGCTGGAAATTTTACTGTGTATTGAGCTCCTAATAAAACTCTCTGTGGCCATCCACTCAAGATTTATCACTGACCATCCAGCTTTCTACAACAAAACCACTGGATAGCAAGTCCCAGAGGCTGCCGAGTTTTTGGCTTGGCTGCCACAAGTTTACAGCTATACCTAGATTTACTTTCCCACCAGTTATGCAACCAGTCGCATCGCTGACTGTAGTGACAGCTGCTAGAGTTAAGTATGTTAGCAGACTGTCAGAGCAGCCCTGCTCTGGAGGCTTCATTTCCCTGCAAGTCGTTTTTGGCTTGGTCACTTTTTCCTCACTGCTCAGAGGTGAGTTTCGGCCCATGAGTCATCAGTGTTGCTGTAGAGCCCTGTCTGGTGAAGTCCCTCAGGAGCCTCAGGAGCCGTAATGTTTCCGGCACAGACTCTGCTCAACCAATCAAAACCACCTGTATCCTCTAACAAATTCACAGGCTATTTGCTTTCTTTTCAAGTCCAACAAATTCTCAGTGTTTCCTTGGTAGCCCACCCAAGCTGGCAGCGCTGCTCACAGGAAGGTTGTATGAGGACAGGGACTGCATGTGGCAAAAACACCCTCCAGAAAAAGAAATGGGTGGGGGTGGAGGGTACAAAAAAGGATGCCTGCACATTGTGTTTGTAAATAAACAGCAGTAAGTTATCAGCAAGTTAACTGTAGCAGCAGGGAACACTTCAGTCAGATTCTGGAAAGCTAACTGTGGCAGGAAACGGTTAGGTAAAATGCAGAACTGCTACTATTTAAAAGTGCACTTTGATCAACAAAGGGAGAAAAGACGTATTTCATGCTTTTCACTCTAAAATACAGCAATTTGAGGTAGCTCTTTTCAGCTGGGGGCCTTAAGTTGCTATTTGCTCTAACTGTTAAATCTCACAGCATTGCCAGATCACATGTGAGAGTAAAGGAAAAATACAGGGCACTTTTCCCCAGGTGTTATCTGCTGCTTGTTCTGTTACTGAAGGATATGAACATCTGAAGTCAGAAGAGAGGAGCTGGACACTGGAAGGGGGATGTATACCTGGGCACATCCCCTCCCATCTTGCCAGAGCCCATTTCTAAATCTCTCTACTCCATTTTCCTCTGCCCGAAGGGTCACATTCAGCCACAGAAGCCCATATCTAGTTGCTATGTGAGTCTAATAACACTTCCACACCCCTCAGATGTATTTGATAATTCATGATAATACAGCACACGTGTCCTGAAGCTGGGGAGAAGCTGCTAAAGGGAAATTAGAGGAGTGAGGTTACTCCAGACCCAGAAATCAAGTTGGCTAAACACCTGAAAAGTAGGGAATGGTTCCCTGTGATAGAAAAGAGGCATCTTAATTAAATCCTTTTCTATGATTCATGGTATCTATCCTAATTTCCAATAAATCCAGTAGAAGGAGAATCCAAGAACACTGAGTGCTTAAATCACGTGCCGAAACAACTGGGATGTTGAAAACTGTCAGCCATCCACCTGCTCTCACACACCGGTAAATCCTGAGCTATTCCACTGGAGTCACTAGGCTGAATAAACAAGACGAAAAGCAGGTTCATGTGGATGACCCAAAACCTTTGACGCACTCATGAAGCAGACATTTCAGCTGGGTGACTGAGATGGCATAGTTCAGCTCTTGTAGTCCAGACAGTGTCACTGACTCTTACAGACAGGTGGGGTTTGAGAAAATTTCCCTCTGGTGGGCTCTGCCCATGCACACTGTCCCTACCCTTCTATGCCTCTGGGGTGCTGAAAGGCAAACCTTAAGTTTTCTGTCCTTTCAGGGGTGCTTGGCTGCTACTGACCAGAAACTAAAGCTTTTCATGCATTTTAAGGGAGGCCACCACTGTAATTGTTAATGGGTTTCCTTTATGATCAAGGTGATTGTACTGTGATGTTCCCTGGTCAGAGACTGCACTGTTCTTGTGTGGAGGAATGACATGAGCCGCAATTCAACTTCTGCTGGGATGCTTTGGCTACTGTAAGTCCAAACCACACTTAATCAACTATTGGGGAATTTTTGAATAGGGAGTAATTTTGTACTAATTACGGTTCATGGAAAGGAATCAGAATAGACGTTCCCTAAAAACTTAGTTTTTCCAGATGCTTTAATGGACTTTGCTCTGCTCTAATGTGCTTTAAAGGCACAGATGACCTGGGACAGGCATCAAGAACAGGTCTATACCATAAGGAAGGCACAAGGTGGACACAACACTTCTCTTGCAGTAATTACTGCCTAGTCCTTGCTGCAAAGTTAATCCCTTTGCTTTTACACTCCCACCTATTGCATTTGTAAACTCTGATCTCAGAAATGTGAACAGCAACTGACGTTACATATCAGTTGATAAAACAGACAACATCTTGTTTGTAGATAGTGCAGTAAAGTTATATCCAGTGGTGGGTAAGGTTTATTCCTACTCCTGAAAACCATGCAACTTTTTTTATTTCAGATTCATACATGTGAACTCATTTCAGAAAGCTGGACTTTCTTGTACCTTTGGAATGACACATGAAGCATTGAATCTGTTTCCACACAGACCATCAGCAAACCAACCCCATAAACACAGTCTCTCACTCAAGGTGACAGAGTGCTTTTAAGGAACCAGATTTTTACTGGTTGATAGAATATTTACCTGTGTCCTTTATTTTTTTGCTTTGGAGGACAACATACTGTTTTCTAGTTAACCTTAGAGTCTTGAACCCCCGAGGACACTAAGTAATGTGTTTTATTGGGAACTTCATGCAAAACCAAGAAAAGTATTTCCCCAGAGTTCTCACAGCTATAACAGACTACTGGAGATAGGTAGATATGATCATTTCAAAACATCTAATTTTAATACTCTAATCCAGATAAGAGTTTCCAATAATTTTTGACTCTACAATGAACAATGCTACCTATACTCAGGGTGGTAGGTATATCTGAGACAAAATATATATTTAAATTAAATCATTTGGCTAAATTTTATGTTGGTAATTTTTAGTACTGATATTCTTAAAGTAGACCACCAGGAGTAGGCTTGTGAACATCACACTCTCCTGCACTTCAGGAAACAATGCAGACAGCAGACCAGAGTTTTGCTAGATTATAAACAACCAGATTTGGCCTGGCTCTCTTGTGGATTATGCAAGTTCAGTGCGGAAGAGAAAAGCAGATCAGGGGCCTCATGTTGCCTATTTCTGAGTCAGGAGTTTGCTTCTACTATACAGGCAGGTGGCAAATGAGCAGGACAGGAATGACTGCTGTCCCTTCAGGTGCGGGCAGATAAGTGAATGGTATTAGATATCTCCCCATTTCCTATGCACCACAAAGCAATTCCTACACTATGGAACAGATCTTTGTTAATTTAGGATCTTAGAAGACATAAACCAGCATGCTGTACCCTCAGTATGTCAGCGTGTCAAAGGAACGCTGGTCAGAGTAGACATCTTTTATTTATGCCTGACAGATTAGTGGTTTTTGGACTGGGTCTCGGTAGCAATTAGACTCTTACAGTATTTTGGAGGTGTTTATTTGTGGCTAGTTGGGATTGGACCACCCAGCTTTGATCTTGCAGGTCTCAATTAATATTTCCCCAATATACACCATTTCCAAGCCAAATATATGTCACTAACTGTTTTTCTGATTTCATTCCTGCTTCCAGAATGATATGTGAACGCTACTGAAAAGAAAGCAAATAAAAAGGAAGCAATAAGTCAGGAAAACTACTTTATCAGTGCACTCATAACTCACTCGTCTTCAACTCGTTGCTAAAAGTATCTATTTTTTTCCTCCCCAGGAGACAAAAATACACATATCACTGTCTTGAATCACGGTATTTGAGGGAGTATTCACCTCACATTGCCAATCTGAACAGCCATGTATGTCCAGTGTTGTGCTATTTTCTTGATTTATTGCTTATTCCCTGGCACTCATAAGAAAAAGTAGAGAAGAAATCTAATAGTGAACGATCTATGCATTCCAGCTTGACACTGACCCACACAGAGCTCCCTGAGCATTCACAAAACTTATTGACTCTAATAAAAGCAAGCACTTGTAAAACTAGGGCTAAAACCCCTGAGGGAGAAAGGTAATGGCTGCACCAGAAGAGGATACTCCCCAGGACCAGGAGATCTGTGCTGCTGGATGCAGAAGAGTCAGGAGAATGCACAGGAGCTACTGATGCTCCAGGGAACGCTGCAGAAGCAGGAGGCCCCTGTAAGAACAGCTGTAGTCGCTGTAAGAGGCAGCTATCTTTAAAGTCTGTCAAAGCCGTAGCTGTACCTTCTGATATACCAGCCGAAAAAGTTGCTTTCGAACAAGTGGCTTTAACTTATCCATACCTCCTTTTTACAGATACAAGAGGAAATAATACTGATTATTAGGTTTTGTAATGTGAGAGGGTGCAGAGGTCACTGAGATCAAGTTAAAACTGTGCAATAAAAATAGCTCAAAGAATAACAAAAAAATATGGGAGACTGCTCAAGTTCACCAATTTCTTGTGCCAACTATAGCAAGTCACTCTGTGTCAGATCTAAAAGAAAAAAAATAAAGAAACTAACTACAGGTTCCACGTTGGAGGGTACTTTTTGCACTCCAAATGTGTAACCTACCCTCAATTCATTGCCCATTTTTGCTACAACTCCTCTGTAAAGCACTACTTTCGTCTTTCCCAGTGGCGTTGCGGGGACAACTCAGTGACTGTGTAACACTAAATGCATGGTGATGTGATTCATGGAACTATGAAAGATGCATGCAACAGCGTCATTACTCCTTTCTACACACTATTACTACAGCAAAGCAAAAGACTACTAGTGACACTTAAGGACCCTACAGGTATGAAATACCTGCTATAGCTAACACTGCCTGCCTCAAACCACAAGTTTTTCCTCAGTTATATTCCTTTATTCTAGTAGCAACATTTTCTAGGCTCAACAACAGTTCTTCCTTCTCCCTGCACGTTCACCCCTCATTTAGTTTGAGGAACATCTATATGTTTGATGTATCCATTTGGGGGTTTGAGGGTTTTTTTTGAGTCTACTTTTAATGTACACTATTCTCTGACATCCTGAAGAGTTCAAGTTACTAATGGCTTTCCAAGACATCATTCCAAAAATACTTCCATAGCTTTTAATAACAACAGTTAATATGGGTGGACAAAACTCAAATTACAATGACTAACTAAATCTTTCTATGCCTTTGTAATCCTCCTTGGATGAGTTACTTGCTAAGATCATAAGAGGCTACTCACTGCTATCTTGAGGAATGGGATTTAGTCATTCTTTTATCCTGTGTTTAGTAATCAATTCCTTAAAATGATTTGGAGAGTCTGATCTTCCTCTAGAGTTAGCAATGCCTTGTGACAGAAATTTTCAAATCCTTCTCTTCACTGCAGAGTGTTGTGCACATACCTGTACTTTAAGCTGTGCAAGCTAAGAGAAGTTGGCCTTAGACAATTAAATTGACTGATCACAAAAGTTTAAAGATAAAACACTGAAAGTTTGAAAGTTTAAAAAAAACGCTAGTGATATTGTACGAATCATCTTTTAGCAGTCAGAAAGGATTTGATGAGAACAAAATTGCATCCAACCAACTCCATTTCCCCTACGATGAGGTAAAAAGCTTGTGGACAAACAGCAGAAGCCATAAATCATGTCGTTCATTATGTTTTTGACATTGGCTGATGAGATCTTTTTATAAGGAAACTAGGCAAACCAGGTCTGGATGAAATACATTTGGGTAGGAGTAAAACTGGAGAACCTTATCAGAAAACTGCTCAGCCATTTACTAAAGAAACACACTTATGAATTTGTCTTTGTCCAAATCAATATTTTTAGCAATTAGGATATTGAATTAGGAAGTAATCCTATTGAAATTTAGGCACTGAGCTAAAAGTACGGTCAGTGGCACTGGTGAGCACCATGGAAACTTAAAGTTATCAATGTAAATTGATCTTTTTTCTTCTTAAGGAGATGTTGTTCAACAGGAAGGTACCACATATAGGCAATGTCACTCAGTGTTTAGGCAGATAGCCTAATTTATTTGTAGTACTTTTGTAGAAGATGATCATATTGCACCTGAAGCTAGCAGGAGTTAATCTGCTGCTGTTGCTAGAAAAGCAAACACTGTACAAGAATATATAAACAGAGGCATTAACCTACAGGGCTCATACAGAACTCATTCCACTCCTGTCAGCATTTGCAAAACCTCAGCTGAACCACTGTGACTGGTTTTGGGCAAGGCATTTCCTGCAGGATGGGGAGAAGCTGGAGGGTGTCCAGAAGAGAGCAGTGAGAGTAGCCAGTGGTCTAGAAAATGCACTGAGCGAGGAAAGACTGCAAAAAGTTGGACTGCTTAATTTAACACGAGGGGAGCATGACAACGCTCCTCAAGTATAAAAAAGGCAACTGCAAAAGGGACAGGTGAAATTTTTTTTTCCTAATCCATTAGAGTCTAAATCCTAGTGTAGGGGGGTTAGGTTTAATGTTAGAAAGCGGCTTCTAACAGTTTGGCCACTGCTGTAGGGTATCTTGGAAAATCTCAGATTCACTAAAGAAAAACTGCATAAATTTATCCTAGCCTTAACTTAATTAGGAAATTTAGGTATTTTTAATAATATCTGAAAGAAGAAGATTTTACAGATTTTGTTTTCTTTATAGCAATCTCTCACTACCTAAACCAGGAGTGCAACAGTGTGTTAATAAACCAAATACTTCAAAGTTTTATACTACCAATAGTTTTGTTCTATTCTTTCTCTTTCTGTACACTATTTAAAGCATTTAATGTATGTTTGAATGCGCTGGTTTCCATGGGTATAAGCAGACCACTATATAAAACTGAAACTTGACTGCTTGCTTGTCACACACTGATAAGGCTGTACTAAAAGTCTTAGTTTCATGGCTGCATGTAATCTAATAACAGCAGAAGCAACAGTCTCAGCCTGTAGCCCCTGGCCCTCTGATCCTACAATTTAATTGAAGATACGATGCACCAACCCTAGCAAATGTGTGGAAGAAGACAAACGGAGAGTGAAACACAAGCGACATGATCAAACCTGTTACATCCAGTTTCTATTATTTCCACCACCTAGAGTATTCGTGTTCTTTCAACAATGATTTTAATTTTTTTCACTTCAGATCACTACCTTAAGAAAATGATTAATTAAAAATAAGGAGTTTGGTTTCTTTTAAGACACCTACTCACATAAGAAGCCAGTTTTACCCCCTCAAATAATTCTACTGATGAGCTGCCAAGAAGCACAGGCAGTTACCCCATCTCCATCCTTTATCCAGAAAAAAATGTTGCTTCCTGCACGCACAAGAGAGATGAGCGTGGATCAAACTGCAGCTCATGGTGTTAGACTGAGCATGGCCGGATTACCTGCTCCAGGTCCCCTCTGATCCACCCTGCTAGCCACCCCTACTCTCAGCATCTTACAGAGGTGCCCAGAGAAATTTATTTCCAATTATTTCTCCCTTGAGCATTAGCTCATAGCAAGGACATGGCTATGGTTTGTGTGTTTATGACTGCAGTGGATGGATTCCTGGATAGAGCTTTCTACTGTGAGGCTGCTGAGGGGTCCCACAGACAACTTAGGTGTCCCTACCAACTGCCAAAATCCTATGCCGGATCAAGTTACAAACACTAAAAATCAAGACACATGCAATTTATGCAAAAAACCCTATTGCCTCAGTTGGAGCTAGATTGATTTGATTAA